CAGCAAAAATCTATGCGACCGCACAGGGAGTCTATAAAATATTGATCAATAACTTGGCTGTCAGTGACTCGCAAATGAGTCCCGGTTGGACTGACTATAATAAGACAATCCAATACCAGGGCTACGACGTAACAGGGTCATTGCAGACTAAGAATGCTATAGGCGTACTGTTAGGAACAGGGTGGTTTAGCAGTTATGTCGGATTTTCCGGTCAATACAATATTTTCGGATGGGATCAGAATGTGTTGTTTGAATTGCATATACAATACGAGAACAATAAGACAGAAATTGTTAAGTCAGACAACACGTGGAAAGTGAACACCGGATCCCTTATATACTCCGACCTATTGATGGGAGAGTTGTATTATGAGAACCGGGAGGTGAAAGGCTGGACATCGCCAGAGTTTGATGACAGCCACTGGCCATCAGTGGTAACCAAATCTATCGACAAAAAGGTGGCACTAGTGGCCGATCGGGCCGAACCGGTTCGGGTCACTCACGAGTTGTCGCCAAAGACTAAATACCAGAGCAAACCAGGGGTTTGGGTGTTTGACTTCGAGCAGAATATGGTCGGTTGGGTTAGGATCTCATTCCCCAAAACATACGATGCGAGTCGAGTGCAGTTAAGACACGCGGAGGTACTAAATCCCGACGGATCCATATATACAAAGAATTTGCGGTCCGCTTTGGCCACCGATACCTATGTGTTGAACAGTAAGGCATCAGATATACTGTCATTGAAATACAATAACTATAAACCCGTTGTCTATTCATATCAGAGGCCGACAACTCCTATGAGATCTCATTTGAGCCCCACTTCACGACCCATGGGTTCAGATACGTGGAGATCACGGGATACCCGGGTGAACCACAACTGACTACCATAAAGGGAATAGTCATGAATTCGGACACACCTTTCGACTCGCATTTCGAGATGGCTGCAAGTGAACGCCGACACACCCAAAGAGGTCATGAATACCGGGTATTACGGCTACGACGCCCTCCTTATGTCCAAAATGGCGAAAGCAATCAATCGTACGGAAGATTACAAGAAATACAGTGAGGTCCGCTTTGGCCACCGATACCTATGTGTTGAACAGTAAGGCATCAGATATACAATAACCAAGGTGTAATTGAAATACAATAACTATAAACCCGTTGTCTATTCATATCAGAGGCCGACAACT